CAAAAGTCGAGTTGTGCAAAATCCTGCGGGCTCCAATCACAGCTATCGTCGGGCAAAACCTTAGTATGCGGCTCTTTGTAAGTTACCTGACTGCTTGCGGTGCTGACGGTCATAAATGTAAAGTTGTCAACAAGGTATTGCGTGGTCGTCTTACTTTTTGTTTCTTGCAAACACAAAACCTGTATTCTGTGCTCCTTCATGTACGTGACAATTTGTTGATGCATCGTGGGTTTAATAAGTGAGCGCACGTTCAGGGAAACAATGTTGAGCTTTCAAGCGTATGGCAGTTTGAAGCGATTGAGGTCTGGCTTATTGTGGTTATGGTGTTCCTCGTACAGGCGCGTGCTAGTGACACTACGCGCGTCTTTCAAGGACCTCAAGGCCTGAGTGGTCTTCGCAGAAGAAACACCAACCAATCCTGGTACATATCATCGGCTACACCCCTCATGTTAGTCCTGCACCATCTGTAATTTCTGCGATGTAATCTGCGATTTGCTTGTTGATTGCACTTACGTTGCAAAAGGGCTGCCTCAGATCTCAAACCTCGCTTGTGTGACCGGTTTTCTCTCCGTATCCGCTGAGGTACAAGGTGTAGCTGGTGTCAAGAAGTGGTCGTCAGAAATGGTCAGGTCCCGGTGTGCCCGGCTCGCCAACTGGGCGGCGAGAGTTGATGCCCCTGTTGTTAGAAATGGTCGAAAGAGTCATCTGTGGCCTATGTTGTTGCGTATACTGGTGGTCCGCTACTTCCTACTGCTGGCGCCTGTTTGCGCCCCTGCCGTCCCCTTGGGCTTGGGAAGCCTCACTCCTGGAACACCTTTGATGGCGTCGTCGTCGTCGTATCGGCTGGCTGACGGGCGTGAGCTGGTTGTTGTGGTCCTTTTCTGCTTCTGGAGGGCTGTGTACTTCTCGTCCGTCCTTTGCGATGCTCGCTCCCTGAGCCTTTCTGTCCTCCCCATTGCGCCCACTCGGCCGCGAACTTGTCACTGAAGGCTTGCATGACGGTTTCGTTGACATAGATGTTGACGTGGGTCTTGTCGTATTCTTGGCTTTGCACGTGTAGAATCCACTCTCCGTCATGCCAAACTAGGTCATTCTTGGGTCCGCTACACGCCTGATCCTCGGCGGTCCAGGGAAAGTCGGGCCCTCTCACACTACCGGGTCCTCTGCGGCTGGCTAGCGGAGCGACTGGAGAGTGGAGGGCGGCTGCAGAAGCCCGAGCCGCTACTGGAAGATGCTGCACCGCTGAGCTACGCTAAAGCCGACGACGGCCGGGCCTCGGTGGCCAGGGCCCTTGGTTCTCGCGAGGTCACTTCGGACTGGGCCCCCTGGGCCTGCGCTAAGGGCGATCCGGGCAAGGTCATCGCCGCACTAGAGCTCCTGGCCACGCTGGTTGGAGTTCAGCTCTGGGTCATTGATGGGAACGCTAAGACTACTGAGGAAGTAGGCTATGACAACCAAGTTCCCGTCGACGCTAATCCTCATGGAGCTAAGAGCTATCGGCCAAGAACTGTGAGCTCCAGATTCGGCGGGACTTGAACCAGCTAGCAGACGACCTCACCAACGAGAACTTCGCTAGCTTCGACCCTAACTTCAGGGTGAACCTGAAAGGGGGAACGCTAGAGTGGAGAGTGCTAGGTCGACTCTTGAACCATGCGACCAGCTACTTTGAAGAGTTGGGCATGGCCAAGAGGACCGATAAGGCCCCGGCTACGAGGTTCGCGAAGCGACCACGTAAGCTAGGTCCCTGGTGACCCTACGGCTTTGCTAGGAGATTGGCTAGCCTGGACGGAGTTCCGGCTAGAGACTTTCTCCGGGGCAACAGGGACCTGTGCCACACCGCTAAAAAGAGTGAGGGTCTGCGTTAGCTGTTATGTCCGTGCGCTAAAGCCTAGAGCTTTGGGGAGGTGGCGGGTAGGAAGTGCGGACACCTACCTCAAGTCATTTGACACGATTCTTGACATGGTGCCGCGGCCGCCAGTTGTGATGATAAATCACGATAGGCGCTTCCTTGCCGCTTCCCACAAGGTTCTCGACAGACGCCAGGATTTTGCGGGGTATGAGGCCGTGGGCGCTTGCCTTGCGCTTCAACTACGGCTACGTGGGTGCATCGTAGTTCGTGGCTCCTCCTTCTGGTGCAAATTGATGAGTTCACTGAAAGAAAGTCACTCTGGATCTCACGCATTCAGCACCGAGAAGATCACTGAGCATGAACCGCAGAAGCACCGCCAGCAACTGTTCTGTGAAAAGACGACATCAGCTTGTTACTTGAACTCGCAACGGTTGATTGCCTGGGAGAAGATGCATCGCCGGAAGACCATTGATATCAGACGCTTCAAAGAGATTTGCATGGACTTCACGCAGCTGCATTTTCCTCTACAGTGAATCTCAATGCTTGGGTTTCACAAGACAGACGTCGTGCTATCGAAGAGGAAAACAGACGCGATGACTTGGTCAGGCATCCTCAAGTGGCTTGGCAGAATTTCGACATATCTCTGAGCGTTCCTGAGCCAACGTACACTGACGAGCAGAACTGGTTCAAGATCGACGACTACAGCGTGCCAGATCTTGATGCCTGGGCCACCGGGAAGATTTTCTTCTGTGCGTATTGTGAGAGGGAGAAAGAAGCCAGCATCTTTTGCCGGGGCAGCACATCGTTCAAGTCAGATCGACAACAATTCCCGGATCGATGCATTGGTTGCACGTACAGACATGCCCTTCACAATTCGTACTACAAGGTCAACGACTACAAGGACCTCCGAACGAGCGAGTCGTACTCCCTTGCGTGTGCAATGTACATCTACATTCACCACTTCCAAGAGACGAAGCCAGGCGACACTTTGCTTGATTATATCAAGAAGTGTTGCCCTATTGCCTACAGGTCCGTGAGAAAGGTTGTATCAGCATATGGTGGCCTCCGATGTCCCATTGCAACTGCAATCGCGTATTCGTCCTGGGGAAAGGCAAAGCAACTGGCATGGGGTCGTGCCTACGACGCACAGAACAACCTTTGCTTCATGGCGTACTACGATGCTGGGAACGTTGCCTATGCAGGTTTCATGAAGACGTTGTTGACTCCACAAGAAAGGGAAGAGTTGTTCCGAGGCTGCGAGAATCCCGCCGAGGAGCTCTTGGGCGACGTGTTGGAGCTATCTTTGGGGCTTTTGACATTTGGGCCACGCTATCCTCATCTTTTCAAGAAATGGGGAAGTTCGCAAGACATCAACGCGTGCGTCTGCGGCATCGAACGATGTTTCTACTTGTACTCGTCCAAAGAAAGCGTCAAATTGGTTGCAGCAAGACAACCAAAGAAAAGTGGAGAGAGACGTCGAAAAGATCAGCATGGCTCTGCCCGAGGAACGCTTCCTTGCAGTACCATCATCCATGGTCGACCAACGTCTCCCTGGGAGTGCTGGTATGGATGACGTGAATGAAGCAGAGGACACCAGTTACGACTCCACGCATGGCGTGGACGCATCCACACTACCGCAAGATGTGCGTGTGGGTCATGAAGAACCAGAAGAAGACGCATTAGTCAGTGACAACGACGCATTGAGGATAGCGAAAGCAAAAGCTTGGGATGCAACAAGGCTTCTTGTCAACGGATCATTTGACGTGAATGCTGACAATCCCCAGAATCTGTGCGTGCTATGTGGAAGTCTGGGGCACACGCAGGCATCGCATCGTCGAACACACCAACCTTTGGTTCTTGGCTACGCCTTATAACCCGAAGAAGAGGGGATCATGACATTTGCGGTGAATCCATCTTCGCTGTGGGGTTGCGAAACAACGACCAAGTGTGCGAGAAGATCGAAGAATGCACATCACATAGAGACAGAACGATGCCTCAACGAGGAGATCGAAGACTATACCCTTGTGTGAACGACAATGACCACCATGAGGGGTACGTCAACCCGTCCTATGTATGCATCTCTGATGATGTATCTTGCGGACTATTGGAGCAACTTCCAGACAGAGGGTGCTATTTCTGTCATCCTGATTGGAGGCAAGTGGGTCCAGCTCCTCCCGTTGTTGAACTTGAAGAAAGCCGCCTATGGTACGCACAACAAGCGGTGAGGAACATTCAGAAGGACCTGAGGCACTACGTTGGGAGGAACACCAGCTTCAAGATTGGACAAACAGACGTCCCGATCGTACGATGTGACGATGGTGCATGGGTCAGACTGGATTTCATTCTCCAGCAAGACGTTCTGTGGTGCCATCAAAGCCGAAGGCTGAACTGCGAACCACTGTACAGGTACAGATCAAGGGATGAAAGGAAGCGCGAAGTTTGCAAAACAGACTGCAACTGCTCTTCAACGGCAACAACACTACCCGTGTTCGCAAAAGAAGGATCAGGCTGAACGATCCACCGCATCCTGCCTCTGTCGCCGACGATGTTCAACCTTTTGATCGTCGAATGGTTACCATGACAATGCGGCGGCATGAACTTCGGCTATCACCATCTACCCGGAGCATGACGGATGATGACATCCTACTTTGCGATGGTTGGGTGATACCCTGGGCCGCAGTCATTGGGGGGGTGTTCGCTCCATGGGATGCAAGGATCAGATCGAGTGTCAACAAAACACTCCCACTTGCTGTATTCTATGTCGCGATCATCGACATCGTTAGAGCAGGAGGAAGAATAACGGAAAGCGGCATCATTGTCTGCAGCAATCCCATTCCTTTCCGATTCGTGAAAGAAGTCTGGCTTTGCGCGCCGAACGATCGGCGCAGATACAGGTTTGACCTTGTGGAAAAGATCTTGGACTACGAGTTGGAGGATGAGATTTGCACCAAGTACAGCCCATCTCAAATAGCAACAGAGTTTACTCCGTACAGGACGATTGAAGGCTCGTGGCATTACTTTGTGAGATGCCTAATGGTCCGCGTGTCGCGACCAAGGAGGAATATGTGCCACGACTTGGAGACTACTGCGGCGTGGGTTGGCGATCTGCCGATTGGAACCGCTACGACAGGCTCTATGAGGATGCCATCAGATTCATCATCGAACATACAAAACCAATGGAACACGCGAGGAACCGTCGAGATCATGAACACCGATACCGTCTTTGTCCATGGTGCTTGCAACAGACGCCGTCGTGTTTGTCACGGTGTGCTACATGCTTCACCGACTTGTTTTCCATTGGAAAGTTCCACAGAACAGTGCGCCAGGAGGACGCTCCTTTGGAGGTCCCAGCGAAGTGATCAATCGCTCCATTGAAGAAGCGGAAATGGCTGCGTGACGATCCCTTGGAAGAAGATGACCGGCAAACTGTTGCTGAGCCTGAACCAGATATGGGGGCAGAAGCAGCTGATTTTGCCCAAGATGTTCCGGAACCTGCGCCAGAAGATCCTGAACCAGCACCTGAAACGGATTACGATGAGGAGGAATCTCCTGAAGTCTTCAGCTCACGAATTCCCGTGCTGATTGGAGACGCTGGGTATCATATTGATCAGGAACTGGAGCACGCCAGGGCCAACATGCAGGTCCCAATCTACATCCAGGTGGAGAAGGCATGCACGGTGGACCCGAACCTACACTTGTCACGTTTCATGGCGTACACCATTTGCAGCTATATCCACAAGACTTGGAGAGCGAACATGAAATGGTTGGACATTCCGCTGGCCAAGGACATCGGTGTGACGCTCTCGGAAGATGGGGTGAAGCTCTATCTGAAGTTGATCCCAACACGCGCATCAGGAAGTGCTCGACGAAGAGGTTATAGCTCACGGTGAACGGCAACAGATACCTGAGGACCCTACGGGAGAGTTCTTACTTCGCAAATTCCGAACAAACCAACTGATCTCAAAGATCATGAGAGGAGCTTCGCAATTGGGATATGACAGGGCCCAATTCAACCCTGCTACCCACATGCGCGAAGGGCAAGACACCGATGCGCCTCAGATGCACTCTAGCTGCTATTCACTGTTGCAGAAGATCATCGATCCTTGTGGTATCGCACAGATGGTGGGCTCACGGCACATATCGACATCACTATTGTCCCTTCTGATCGACAGCGGTATACAGTTGCCGTCCACCTTCCACACCCGCATGATCGCAAGTCGTCAACAAGCTCACACATCCAGAAATCCAGCCGCATTGACCCATTTCCGACGCATATTCCGGGAGTGCAACGCAGGATCATGGATACGCCTCTTACGACCGAAGAAGCTGCAGAATTAGAAGAAGCCCGTCGAAGTCGACACGGCACGCGGCGGCAACATGAAGAAACGCGCGGTGCAACGCCCTCTCCTCCGTCACAACAACCTCGACGCGATCGATGGCAGCGAATTCAACGTTCACACGACGGTCAATCTGCAGGGTCATCCTCGGGATACCGCTATTCCCGTGACTACCGCAACGACCGAGGTTATTACCATGATGATGATCGTTGGCACCGGTGATCTACTACGAGTACGCTGTCGTCTACATCGATTACATCCTTGCTTGGTGGACATGACTCATTGCGCCACATTTCGCGCATACTTCTTTGAGTGCTTCCCTTCACTTTTCACCGAAGCCGGGCATCGCATCCAACGCAGTTATGTTTCATGCAGCGATTAATTGGGCAGTTATGCACGCAACATTACAAACGCTCGCCGTTGAGTTTCTTTCTTCTCAGGTCCCACTACTCTCTTCTTTTCGTGAGTAAAGCTGGAGGCTTCACTCATGGGGGTGTGAAGAGACCTCGATGCCTAGTGCAATATGGTTACCCATCACATGGACTGCCTTGGGCATCCATGCTGACCGGCTATGAGACGTGTGTATCAACACAACAAGAGACATGGAGATCAGCTTTGAGCTATCCCATGATCTACGTTACTATTCCGGCGAATGTTTGGCTCAAGTCAAAGGTCAAACCGAAGCCACGAGCTCAAAGAGCACGAAGCGGAAGGCAATGGTGGAAAGCACTATTCTTCTCTTGTTTCCCAGGATACAGCAATTGCGTGTATTGGCCCGTGCACAGACACTTCGCCTGCATCGCGAGGACGCAGAAAAAAAATCCGAAGTTGCCTGCTCGGGTTACGTTGTCCAGTACGTGGCAGTGGGCAATCACAACTACAACCCAAAGCTCGGTGAGGTGAGCAATCATACCATATATCAAGACCAAACCCTCACGCAGAATAGAACAAAACTGTGAACAAATAAGAAAAGACTATCAACACATGTTCAATTCAAATTAGGTATGAATAGCCATCATATTAGTTCTTATAATACGATAGTTAAAAAACTTCAAGTATTAGAAACTATGGTAAGAATATTGCTAAGGACCTTGGAGTATTGAATAAGGGTCGTTGGTAGGTGTGATGGTATGAATTCGAGGGAAGTGAGTGAATAAATGAATGAGGGTAGAACACTTGATGAAAAAGTGCTGAAACAGGAGGGTAAGAAACAATTTTCAGGAAAAACCCAGAAGCCCCTTCTGGAAAGGCAAACAAAGTGGATAGGAACAGACATTGAAGAAGGTACGTTGGAAAATGATAAAACAAACAAGCCTAACAGAGCTTGATGTGTGAATCCTCAGTGGCCCTTTTCTATAAATTGTTTTTTTTTGGAGGGGGGGGTGGGCCTCGCTAACGCAAATTTTCGTTGGTGCGCCGCGAATCGATTCGCGTGCGGCCTGGGGCCACCTTCTGCGGGCGCAGGATGGTGTGCTTGGGTGCTTCAGCTCGGGCCACTTGACTTGGAGGCTCTTTTAAATGGCTTGCTGGTCAACAACATGCCTCGATGGGTGGAGCTTGTGCAGTTGCAAGAAAAGGGGCTTGCCAGTCTTGGTTTGCAGCAACATGAACTCGTTGGTCCTTGCTGTCAGACTTGCCCGTCTTGTCCGCCTGTTCAGCTTCGAAACTCACTGGCACGAATCAAAGCCGCGGTTCGCCTTCAAACAGATCGCCCGCCGCTGCACATTCAGCCGCAGGCTTGTGCCCCAACGTGATAACCAACACCCTAAGGGTTCAAGTGGTTATTGTGCAACCTCGTACGGCTTGACCATTGCTGCGCAAGCCCGTGGCTTGAAGCAAAGCGCCCCATGAGTGCTGAAGTTGCATTTGGGCTTTTTGCAATAACAGTACCACCTTGAGCTTGGTGCCGGGCAGCTACAACAGAATCACCATTTGAGCAGAAAATTTGGTGGCTAGGACCTCAATGACTCCTACCAGCAGTGGGACAGATCAGCCGAACACATTGTGAACAAAACCCAGATCTGGTCATCCAATCTCCAAGTTTGTTCCACCAGTTGGCCACGATCACACTCTAGCCGGAGCGGTGTGTATTTGTTGAAAAATGTCACACGGTACGGCCGGGGGAGGCTCAAAAACGGTGCACAGGAAGCATGTCGACATTGGAGCTGCAGAGAGGCAGCGAAGGTCGTGGCAGTGGTTTTTTCAGCACGTACAAACCGTTTGACATGCGGACTGAGGGGGGGCGTGTGCATGCTAACGCGTGCGATCACGAGAGTGTG